TCAGAAATGCATGTATTACTTCTGACCTCTGAGGTAGATTTTTTCATTTTGTTTAAGCCTGGAAGCCAAAGATTTCAGTAAAGTGATTTGAATTGTGATTAATTTGTCTAAGAAAGATAATACCAAAGGATTTACCTCTACCTCTATGTGGTAATAGTGAGAGTCTGATGCTGACCAAGTTTAAACCTTATTTACACAAAAATAATCACGTTTTAATGCATTTATCTCTTATCTTAACATTTTAAACCACAATTATACATTGATTAAAATGGCCAAGTTTTCTTTTTAGTCACTTTTCAACCAAATTTGGTTCTCTTTACTTTACTTTAGACCCTGAACATCACCAGCATCCTTTTACACTGACATTTATTTTGCTTTCATTAGCTGATTATTTCCAACCTGCAGGATATTTAGATTGTTGACATTTGTTTTTGGCAAAGGTATTCCACTAAAAAGTCTGAAAGTTTGCAGAGTTACTGTACTCCTAAACAATGGCTCCCCTAATCATCAGAGATCTGTTAACCAGTGTTTTTAGGGCCAGAACCTAACCATGGGAGGAATTGTCTGGAATCTATGATCCTTACATATGGAATCAACCTCATGAAAAAAAAAGTAACTTGGGAGCCATTTTACATTTAATATCAAATAGAAAAATAAATGTTTGCATTTATTGTTTCAGTGGGTTTAGATGAGTATATTCTGGATGTATTTGCAGCCCCAACAACTAATTTAACACATTTCTTGTCTTTTGATCTAAGCGTTATTTTAATCAAACTTCTATTTATGTCATACTTTAAATATATTTGTGGATGATTAGACAGTAAAGAAACCCAAATTTGACATGAGCAGAGGATTTACATGAAATTATGTCACTTTCTACTTTTGATATGCTGATAATGTCATTTTGCTAGGATGAAACTCTAAAATTCTTTGTCTGGGCTCAAGTATAAAATTACACAATGGAAAATCATTGGCCAAAAATTTATCTTGGCAAACTATAGAGAAACTGTGCACTTTTTGCAGCTTTCAGTTCAGTTCAATTAAAACAAGCTGTATTGATCCCAAAGGGAAATTTAATGCTGCTCTTATGAGGATTTTTCAAAGTGTAGATGTTAATAGAAGTAGGCAGGAAGGATCTCCATGTGGTCTGTCATGCAGCGGATCTGAGCTCTAATTCAATAACATTGTGTATGCACAAAATGAGCCCTGAGTCATTCGAATGACACTTTTTGTGCAAAGGTTGTGATCCATCTAAAAAAAACAACCTGGCACGGAAACATTTTACCCCTCACACTATCCCTAATCCTTTTGCACATTTTAAAAAGATAGGGGAAAATGGCAACACAGAAGGTGAGGTGGAGAAAGGAACTCTAAGAGGTTCAAATTTAATTTATATAAAAATATGACTAATAGCTCAACGCCATCATAAAATGCAACGTCCCAGTGTCATTCCTGTTGCATTGGGGAACCATAATTATACTTGAGGGCAATGAGCAACTCATATCCTTCATGAAAGTTGGTACAATATTTTAATTTCTCCCCCTTGCATTTATTTGCATAAATGTGAGAAGTATGAGAAAAGCCAAAGCTCCAACTTCTTCTATTTTATTGGAAATCAATGACCAGAAGTAAGGCGTTCCAACCGGACAAAAATCTTCAAGTCAAATTCAAACTTCCAATAGTTTAAAGCAGGTTAGCATCTGAGCTCAGCTTCCTGTACCAAAAACAAATGGAATATGTTTCAGTCAGAATTGTGGCAGAGGCTTGGTATGAAATTACATTTCTCTCCAGTTTATGAAAGTTTACTAAACATTAGTGTAGACAGAACACAAATGTGAGACTTTATGTATAAGATTTTAACCATAAATAGTCTTCATATAGATTTTATTTCAGGTAGAAAAGATTGAACACCCCTACAGTAAAAAAAAAAAAAGAAATCGGTATGAAATTTAAAATGGTCTGCTTTTAGTTACTGAACAAAACTGCATCATTTAGTCTCATTACAAAGATAGCCAGTAGAAATGAAATGCATAAAACACTCGGGGGTCACATAAGCTGAAAATATAACAAGTAGTTTGGGATTTAGGCTTGATTAGCAGTTTTTCCAGACTGGTGTCAATGGGAAAGAGTTTAGATTTTTGGTGTACCAGTATCATTTTCCAAAAAAGGCTGCCTTCCAAAAAAAAAAAACCAGTAGTGCATCAAAAACTCCATCCATGAGAAAGTCCCAGCATGAACATCACAGCTGACCTAAACGTGCACCTCACTGTATTTTCCAATGTTTGCTAACATCATAAAGATGTGAGAGAAGGCTGATGGGACAAAAGGGGCCGTTTTTTTGTTGTTGAAACAAACAAGGTGGGGGTAGTGTGATGATCTGTGGGCTTCTTGGCTGCTTCAGGACCTTCCCCTTTTTTGATGGAACCATGAATTGTGGTATGTGGCTGTCAGTTTGTGAGTATAGTTGGCTTAGTCAGCGCAACAATGATCCAGAGCAAATCAGACAGCCAGGCTCTGAATCCCCAAAAATAAATAAATAAATTAGAACTGCAAAGAAAGAAAAAAGAAAACTCAACAGGTTCTAAAGAGCTCTAGTCAACTCTGGATTTACCTCAGTTTAAGATGCAGTGGCATTATTGTTTTTATCTCACATGTTTTCTATCTTTGTGTGAAATTAAATTAGTAAATGGGAGCAATGGTTCTGTTCTTGTTTGTCTGTTTTCTGTCTATCAATGTATGAAGGATTAAGACTAAATGTGTTAGTTTGATGTAGTTTTCCTCACCTAGATTAAAAGCATTCTGGTGTTTTGGTGTGGCTTCTATTATTATTATTTAATAAAAGTAACAAAAAAGACATCACAGTCCCCCTCATCCACAGCCCTCATTGTTTCAGGGCTCCTGCGCCACACCCGTTTTAAAACGCATAGATAGAGCAAGCAGGGTCTGTGTGACAGTTCGGGTGAGTTTGTAAAAGACTGAGAGCGTGGGAGGGTGGAAGGGGCCCTCCCTCCCGACAAATGTTTTTATAGATCCACTCCTTCATAACCCAACTCTTTCCCAGCCTTGCGCAGATGGCCAAAGTGTCCAAATGGGAGCCTGAATGTGTTCAAACGGGCGGCATGAGACGGGGTGATAGTTCATTAGTCATTTAAGCCACAGATGACCTCTAGATTCATTTTAATAAATAGTTAAAGTTAGATCACCTAGGGAAAAAAACAGTTATATGCCGGTCTGTGCGCGCGCTCCACGCTTGCGCTGGTGATGCCATGCCGCGCAGTCACACCGGCGACGAGAGCAGCGGCACCGGGATCTGGCTGCAGACCTCTGCTGGGAGCCGGACGCTGGAGCACCCGATGAAAGATGTGGAGTCCGGACGGAGGAAAATGAATAACGCGGTGAGGGCGGGGGACGGTCTGCTGTCTCCCCCCGCAGCAGGTGCGGCGGCAGCGGCGGCGGAGAGGAACCAGGGCGCCCGGCTCAGCCTGCTGGGGAAGCCGCTGACCTACAGCTCTCAGAGCTGCCGCAGGAACGCGCGCTACCGGCGGCTCCAGAATTACCTGTACAATGTTCTGGAGAGACCCAGGGAGTGGGCTTTTATCTACCACGCTTTTGTGTGAGTATAGATTTAAGTTACAGATATTTGAAACGAGGGACCAAGTTTCTCCTCTATTTTAAAAACTTTTAAACACTAAAACCCACCAACATCCTTCACCTGTGAACACGCACAATACCAAAACTAACCCATCAGTACAATACTGCTCTGAATATCACCACAAAGTTATTAACATTCATTTTTTTCCCTGATCCAATCTGATATGGATACATTAGCTGATCGATCTGACCGATATCCGATACTGATCCGATAAATTAACAAAATACCTCGCTATGTGAGTAAAGGCATCATGCTTGACTTAAATGTTTTTTCAAAAAAGGTAGAAAATTTATACTTATATAAAACCTCACTAGCTGCTTTGTGTGCTCTGCAAAGCATCCCAATCATAAAATTGGAGTCACTAAATTGCTGTAACTGTGCTGCTGTGTATTATATAAAAATAGAAATAACTACATGCTGGATCTGCGTCATTCATTGGATATCTGCTCCAGTTAATTATTCTATATCAGAGAATATTTTGGATCCCAGTATCGGATCGTTGCATCTTTAGCCAACAATAATGTCCAATCTTAAGTTGAAAGTGAATAAAAGCCCATTGATTCAAGGTTTTATGGAAAAATCCAATGGATGTGGACTCGGTGTTTGAGTCAGCACTGAAAATGAAAGTATGTTTTTCACTGTCAGAGAGAAGAGTAGAGAGAATCTAGGCATTCATCTCTATGCTTTAGTGTTAAACCGGATTAATTTAATGTTGAACAAGACCTGATTTGGGGATTTTTAGTAGCTGTAAGTCATAACTATTACAATTAGTGAGATAAAAGCTTAAAATGTACAATTCTGTGTAGAAATATATATGATGAGTTTCACTTAGATGTAAGAGGCTAAATATTCAATGGTTTTCTAAAGTGTAAAACATCATCTGATAAGACTGAATGAAACCCCCAAAACAAACGTCGGATTCAATGACTAATGGATATCGAAATTCAATGTGCACACTGTAATGCAGTAAAATTGAGTCACGTCTCCACTTATCTTTGTACAGCTTGGAAATTTTCCCAGAGATTTGGGAAATCACTACAAATTTGAACGATATTAACAGGCTACCGTTTCCTCTTGATTCATAACAGAGTCGTTCTGGGAGGAAAGTCCTTAGATTGAAAACAGCCTCCCATTGACCACAAGCCCTTTTTTTCTTTCCTCTTATGTGAAATACTTTCCCCTTCTCCTCCCACACACAATCAATTTACAAAAACATTGTTTGTAAATATTTCTGACCTCTCCTGGTTTTTGTCTGGCTTTGCTCCAAGCGATCCGTTGCTTGTCGTAACATCTCTGTGCTAAACCTTTCCTTTAAAAGCAGATTGTGTGCCATCTAGCTCCTCTGTTTCACTCAATATGAGCCAAGTCAGTAAAGCATCCTTTCAGGAAAGCAGTGGTGTGGGTCTGCTGAAGAATTGAGCAACTTTTTTGTGGCAGTGGCATTTTAAGTTTTTATATTAAACACACTGTGGCTGACAGCAAACCTCCAGAGGACATACAATTGTATTAGTATTAATGTAAGATGTAAAAAAAAAAAAAACATATTTTGAGTGCATAAAACAATTTAATTTGCTATGAGAAACAGGCCCACAGCATCATTACAGTTACAGTAGTTATGAATTCCTAATTTTTTACAACGGAGAGGAAAAAACTAAAAAGTTTCTAGTCAACGACCAGCGGGATCTAAAAAAAAAACCCATTAGGGTTTTGTTTTTGTGGTGGTATGGCTGAAATTGCTTATCACACTAAAAAAAAACATGTTGGCATGAAGATAGCATTTAATGGTTGTAATGAAGTGTTTGTGAACCCAAAATGCAAGTCTCTGCTGTAAGTGAGGTTAGATAAAGAGTTGAAATCATTCAAATTAAATTTTTTACTCATCTTTACTAACTGTGCCAGTAAATAGTTCTCCCACTGAAGCGTTTAATTCCTGTCATTGGAAGCAGGATCAGGCTGAAACGCTGCCTCTTTGCTGTTTAGAGCATTTTTATGCTGGAAGAAGAGCTTTTTTGAGAAGGAAGTGGAGCTGTCAGAGGAGAGGCTGCAAAACCGGATGCTGACGTTTTATTTGCTCCTGCAGGAGGGCCAAGGTCACGGGGGTTAAGTCATTACATCTGCTCCAGACCGCAGCCTCCCACACTGAGTCGTTCTGATCAGCTGCGCGCACTTAACAAAGCAAACCATTTGTTTAAGTGGGATAAAGGGGAGATTCGCACACCAAATCTCTCACGCTTCAGGAAGATTTGCAGAACGCAGGGATGCGTTCTGCAACAGGGAAAGAAACCTTAGAGAACAGAACCTAAAAACAAACAAAAAAAGTGAACTTAATATTTAAAATGTAATAAATAATACCAGATGCTAAGTTTTTGTCATCTTGATTTAACAGTTAAAACCTTCTTGTTTTGGGTTACATGTCCAGATCTGGATTTTCATTGTTATTTGAATATAGTTGATGGCTTAAGATACCCTTCACTGCAGTTGTCAATCCAATCATTAGGTTTATTTCTATTTTAACAACAGTTTCTGTACATCATGATATACTGTTTTAGTTTCCCTCCAAAAAAGCAGGATAAGGAGATCAAATGCTGCAGTCCCTCTATTATTTAATACATTTTGGTCTACAGAAAACAGTTATTTCATCTTAAAACAAGGGGGCGCTGAATAGGCTCATTTATTTCTGCTTTGCTCTGCTATGTAGAAAGATGCCAGCTCCAGAATCAGCAGTCAGAAACCAAAGATTTAAAGCTTAAAGCTTTAAGCTAGTGGTGATTATTACATGAATAATTCTCTGAGTCCATGATAATAATACAAATATAGTTTAACTTTGTTTTTTCTTTTTGTAATCTAAGAATTTCCACTTTAAAAAAAATCAATGCAAATTTTATTTTATTTTTTTATGGAAAATCTGCACCAGGGTTGAATAATTAATTCCAAGTTTAACAGCCCTTTTATAATGCTGGGTACGGGCACTTACCAATACGTCGAATGGCTGATATCTTAGGCCTTAAGACATTAGCACATTCAGCAGTCATGTCTTCAGATTTCGTAAAATGCATGCATTGCCATTTTTTCCCATTTATAGCCATTGTTAATTTTATTTCCGATTTCTTTAAAGACTTCTGCAATATTCATTATCATAGAGTACATAGTGTATAGCTTACAGAACACAGCAGATATCTGGGAATCCATTAAACTTGTGTCAGAATGATTAGTATTACTATTAAAAAAGCTGCATTGGTTGATCACCATTGGAGAGTGATAGCGTAGTTGTTATAGAGCTGCACATTTTTCCTCTGGAAAGGGCAGAGAGATTGCTAGTTCGAAGCTCAGACTTTCACTGGACCCTAAGGCAAAACCCTTTAACATAGCTTTCTGCCCACAGACTCCTCACTGCTCTCTAAAGATGGTTAAGCTCAGAAGATCAATTTCCCCCGATGTGGGCCTGTAGAGATATGTTTTCTTTCCTTCTTTTGCTTTTGTCACCCCTTAAGGAATCATACCTTTTTTTGCAAATATCAAAAATAACCATCAAAAGAAGATTCATCCTCTCAACTAAAATTGTACCTCCTTGATGTTGAGGCATATCTGCATTCACAGTGTATCTAGAGTGGGCCAGACAAATAGGACATCTAAGGAGGTATTTAAAGCATTAATTTGTCAAATGTCTTAGATTTGTGCTTTTTTTTTAACTGTGCAGATTGCAAATGAAAGCTGAAGCTCATAAATCTTGGATGTTATTGTATCTTCTCCACAGCAAATTGACTGCATTGTCTGATATGTAAGATTTTCTGAAGATCAAAAGCATGCAAATGCAGTTTGAATGTCTAAGCATAAACTCGTAGACTGACAGATGTTTTGTAAAGATGTAAAGCTGCAAAAAAACTCACATGGCTCCAACACATGCTTCTCACAAATTCTTTCACACGTGATAAGTGATCAACAAAACACAAAGCGCATGATTTATAAAAGAAAGGTTCCTTTGATAGTTGGCTTTGAGAGAACTCATATTGAACCAGATGCTGCTGTTTGTTTTTCTTGTGAGGATTCACACTGAGTATCAGAAAACGGCCTTAAGGGTGTATTTTCTTCCCCCTTAATGTGTTTGGTGGTGTAGGAACTGAAACAGGAGGGATCTATTCTATCTGCTGTATGAATGTTGATACAGACGAGAACCTGTTGTTGTATTTTTTGCAGAATAATGCTCCTCCAGTCGGGATTACGGCTCTATCTTCCTAACGAGATGGCGTGTGTTGGACTAATCACATTTGCGGAAATGGGTTCCAGTCACATTCTGTATTTTGTGCTGTACTGATTTGTTGATTCCTCTGACAGATTTTTGAGATATCTTTTCTCCTATACAAATATGACAGTACACCCATGTGCTATGCATGCCAGTGTCATGACGGTGTTTTCACCATACGCACACCATGTCAGCACCAATTAGCACATCGAAATGTTGGATTGTGTCTGAGTGAAGGACTTACAGAGACAGGTTTGGTATTTGGCTGTGTGGCTGATTGAGTTATCCATGGTATGAGTGTGTCAGCAAATGATCCCTGGACTGTTCTGGTCTACTAACAGGGAGAAAATCAACCAAAGCAGATGAAATGCCACTCCGTGAGTATCACCTTGCTAAAATTATCAAGCTGAGCCCATTTCCGCTTACATTTCTAAAATATTAAGTGCTCACAGGAAGATGGCCTGGAGGGGAAATTTCTCCATGACATTTTCTTCTCTGGATTACCATTTTTTTGTAAATTTGCTATTTAATAATTTAACTGCATTTTCTTGCGAATCTTGTGATCATTACTGCTGTCCACTACTATAGAATCCACCCATCAGTGATCCCCAGGGTATGATTCCCTATGTTTATTTATAACTATAGCTGCTAAAAAGTTGTCTTCCTGCTGATTCTATTAGACTACAAATAACTTACATCTGGATTGTGCAACATTAGGCTT